GTGCCAGACAGTGGTGAATAGATACATGATGTGTGCCAGACAGTGGTGAATAGATACATGATGTGTGCCAGACAGTGGTGAATAGGTACATGATGTGTGCCAGACAGCGGTGAATAGATACATGATATGTGCCAGACAGTGGTGAATAGGCACATGATGTGTGCCAGACAGTGGTGAATAGGCACATGATGCGTGCCAGACAGTGGAGAATAGATACATGATGCGTGCCAGACAGTGGTGAATAGATACATGATATGTGCCAGACAGTGGTGAATAGGCACATGATGCGTGCCAGACAGTGGTGAATAGATACATGATGCGTGCCAGACAGTGGAGAATAGATACATGATGCGTGCCAGACAGTGGAGACAGGAACAGAAATGGAGAGGAGCAGAGAGTGAGCACGGCACTATTTTATCTGAGTGGATCGGGAAGAGGGCTTGGGGCTTCCCACCTCTTTCCTTCTTTTGTCTTGGGTCAGTTCAGCAGGTGAATCTGCAAACACAAGGGAGTTTTGTATCTGTTGGAATCATTCACATGTTCACTAAGGGAGCTACAGTGAGGTCCTGCTTCTACCTTGTTCTAGGGGTGAGCATGTAGATGTGCATATGTGGGTCCAAGTGTGTGTGTGTGTGTGTGTGTGTGTGTGTGTGTGTGTGTGTGTGTGTGATGTACACTTATGGAGGCTTGAAGTTAACCTCAGAAACATCAGACAGGGTCTCACTATGTAGCCCAGGCTGGCCTCAAACTCACAAACATCCACTTGCCTCTGCCTCTTTTTTGGGGGGGAGGGAGAGGGGGTTTTGAGACAGGGTTTCTCTGTGTAGCTTTGTGCCTTTCCTGGAACTCGCTTTGGGACCAGGCTGGCCTCAAACTCACAGAGATCCGTCTGCCTCTGCCTCCCGAGTGCTGGGATTAAAGGCGTGCGCCACAACCGCCCAGCTAAAATTATTTTTATTTTATTATTTTATGTGTATGAGTATTTTGCCTGCACGAATGTCTGGATCCCCTGGAACTGGAGTTAAGAGACAGTTGTCATCTGCCATGTGGGTGGTGGGAATTGAACCTGGGTCCTCTAGAAGAACAGCCAGTGCTCTTACCACTGACCCATCTCTCCTCCTCCCAGGGTTTCTCCGTGTAGTTTTGGTGCCTGTCCTGGATCTCGCTCTGTAGACCAGGCTGGCCTCGAACTCACAGAGGTCCACCTGGCTCTGCCTCCTGAATGTTGGCATTAAAGGCGTGCACCACCACCGCCCTGTTGCCCCTTCCCCTTTTTAAAGACAGTTTCTTATTGGCCTGGAGTTAGGTCAGGCTGACTGGTCAGTGAGCCTTGGGGATCTACCTGTTTGCACCTCTCCAGCACTGAGATTACAAGTGTTCACCACCCTGCCTGGATTTTTACCCGGATTCTGGAATTCAAACTTGGTTCCTTGTGCTTGTAAGGCAAGTACTTTACTCAGCTCCCTAGCCTGGTCCTTGTTTTTTTTTTTTTTTTTTTTTTAAGATGTATTTATGGACCGGGTGGTGGTGGCACACGCCTTTAATGCCAGCATTTGGGAGGCAAGCCAGGTGGATCTCTGTGAGTTCGAGGCCAGCCTGGTCTAAAGAGTGAGTTCCAGGAAAGGCTCCAAAGCTACAGAGAAACCCTGTCTCAAAAATAAATAAATAAATAAATAAATAAATAAATAAATAAATAAATAAATAAATAAATAAATAAATAAATAAGAAGGAAGAAAAGATGTTTTATGTGTGTGAGTGCTCTGTGGGCCTGTATGTTTGTGCACTATGTGTGTGCATGGCCCTTGGAGGCCAGAAGAGGGCATCAGGTCCTTTAGAACTGTAGGTATAGATGGTTGTGAGTCATCATGTGGGTGCTGAGAGCCAAACCCAGGTCCTCTTCAAGAGCAACAAGTGCTCTTAACCACTTAGCCATCTCTCCAGCACCCCATCCTTGTTCTTAACTGAGGAAGACTGCTACTGGACCCTTCTCTTCACGCCTCTGTGCGCTTCCACATTCTTAGATCTCCAGTCTCCTTCATCCCCCATCCCTTTACCCTTCCTCCGAAACCACAAGCTGATACTGTTCTGATTGGGAGATGTTTGACTAGGAAGTAGAATTGCTCTTCTGTTCCCAGTTTTCTTCTGGTGAGCTCACATCCACTGAGATTTGCTGTCTTGGAAGATCTCACCATTGTCCCAGTCCGAAAGCCCAAATTAAGGTGTGCACCATTCAAATGTTCTGCAGCAGCATGTGCATCTGAAATGGGTACCCGGCACCCACCCCACTCCTCACTGTTGGCTAACGGACTTGTCCCATAAATAGCTCAGTGTTACTTGATCAGGCCGCCCTGATCACAGAGAGGGATCTTTGTTTCCTGGCACACGTGTGCAGTCTCTGGTAGTCAACAAAACCAAGGTCCAGTGCACTGGACCGTGGCTGTAACATAGTGCTTAGGAGGATTGTGCAAATCGGTAGCTCAGTCATTTTTAGATGGGATTCAAGATGCGCAGTCCCACATTACAGAAAGCAGCATTAGGGAAGATCTGGTCTTTATGTCCTCCTCATATGACATTGCTTCTCCAGTCTGGGGATTCCAGGAAGGTCTTGGCCAAATGCCTTCAATTCTCAGGTCTGTCTGAAAAGGATCCTAGTGGTCATGAAGCCATTTTCTGAATCAGGATTTCGTTGGTGGTGTTTGTTTTGATTTTGGTGTTGTTTCTTTAAGACAGAGCCTCAGGAAGCCCAAGTTGGCTTGAACTCTTGATCCTCCTGCCTTTACCTTCCGAATTCTAGGATTATAGGCATGCTCTACCTCAAGAGCCTGTTTAAAACAAAAACTCACTATCGATGAGACTAGTGTCTGAAGCCTGTAATCCTAGGTTAGAAGTTGGCAAATTTAACTGGACCCTGATGGCGCACACCTTTGATCCCACAACAATCCCGTTTGAAAGGCAGAGGCAGATGGATCTGTGAGTTCGAGGCCAGCATGGTCTACAGAATGAGTTCCAGGACAGACAGGACTGTTACACAGAGAAACCCTGCCTCATAAAACAAAACAAAAAAAAAATTAAATTAAATTAAAAAAGAAGATGGCAAGTTTAAGTCCTACCCCAACCACAGAGTGAGTGGTCAGCCTAGACGACTGAGTGAGACATGGTCTCCAAATAAAAAGGTAAAAAGAGGCTGGAGCTATGGATCAGTTGTGCAGCATTTGCCTGGTCAAGGTCAGAGCTTCAGTCTCCACTACAAAAGTCCCAACAGACCGACCCCACCAGAAGCCTGCCCACTCTCACCAGTAGAACACAACAGTCCACTCTTACCCTCTTAGTTGGCATGCATTGTTTTTGTGCTGGCTGTGCATACTGTAATTTAACAAAACATTGTTCTACAAATTGCATAGCAGTAACTCCCAGGGCGAACGTTCGGGAGCTTGGCAAGCTAAGCCTCTGCTCTGGGTAGGAGTATGGCTGCAAAGCTGACTGAGATAACACTCAGGCCTCAGGCCTCAGTCTGCTCTCTTTCACCTCTCTTTCGGCTCCTTTTCAAATGGTAACCCATTCTTCCATCTCCTAAAGCCCAAATCTAAAGTTACGTTTCGGATCGCTCTGCTGATCGTTCATGATGACTGTGGAATCCCTGCTTAGCACCCACGGAACCTTCAAATAGAAGTAAAGACCAGGACTAGGATAGCAAAGCCATCCCTAAAGCTGGTTTTACGATTTCGCCTTTTTTGTTTTTCTGGGTTTTCCAGACAGGGTTTCTCCGTGTTGTTTTGGAGCCTATCCTGCATCTCGCTCTGTAGACCAGGCTGGCCTTGAACTCACAAAGATCCACTTGGCTCTGCCTCCCGAGTGCTGGGATTAAAGGCGTGTGTCACCGCCTCTTGGCTGTGATTTTGCCTTTTGACTGCAATAGTCAACATTTCATAGACCCGTCTGGGGCCCCTTCCCCTGGCCATCCTAAGTGGCTGCATTTTTAAAACATTATAAAGCTCAAAGCCAGAGAATATTAATCCCGGGCAGTGAGATGGTACAGTGGGGAAAGGCAGTTGCTGAGCAACCTGGCACCCCGAGTTTGATCTCCAGAACCCACATAAAGGTGCAAGGAGAGAACTGTCTCCACAGAGTTGTCCTCTGACCTCTACACATTCACCATGGTTCATGTGCATCCACACATGTCACACACCATAATAAAGAAGAAAAATTTAAAGACTTGACGTTTAGTGTACCAAAAAGAGGAAGAACATTCACTTTTAAACCAGTGTTTATTCCAGTGGCTTTGAATGGGGAGGGGGTGCTAGAATCAGACAAATCAAGGTCTTTGTTTACCAGGTGGTGAACCATGGCAATGTGGATACAGGCTCAGCAGCTCCAGGGCGATGCTCTTCACCAGATGCAGGCGCTGTATGGCCAGCATTTCCCCATCGAGGTGCGGCACTATTTATCCCAGTGGATTGAGAGCCAAGCCTGGTAGGTGAACAACGTTTCTACATCATGTTTTGGGAAGCACAAGGATACTGAATTTTGATTAGAAAAATGTTATAACTGAGACTTTAAAAGCTATGCGTAGCCTGGGCCTAGTGGTCCCCACCGGTAACCCCCATGATCCTAACACCTTGAAGGCTGAGGCTGAAGGATTGCAAATTTCAGGCCAGCCTGAATTACAAAGAGAGATCCTGTCCCTGTCTTTTTAAGAAATTTAAAAAGCTTCGTGTGTTGGGTTGGGTGTGTAGCTCAGTGGTAGGGTGCATGCATAAGGCTCTGGCTTCAGTCCTTAGGCCCCGTCTCCAAGAAAAGCTGTTTGGAAACTGCTTATGTAATTCAGGAAAGGGTGTTTAGCCTTCTTTTAGGTTTAGGGAGATAAAATAACTCTTGGAATTTTAATTTCTGTTGTTATTTAAATTATGTGTATATGTATGTGTCTGTATGTGGGTATGTACACTTGAGGGCAGGTTCCTGTAGAGGCCAGAAGACAAGAGTCAGATCTCAGATCACCTGGAGTTACAGGTGATTGTGAGCCACCCAGTGTGGGTGCTGGGATCTGAACTCAGGTCCTCTGAAAAAGCAAGAAGCCCCCTTAAGCACACAGTCATCTCTCCAACCCCTGAACTTGCTTTTTTTGCGGGGGGCGGGGGCAGAGAAGTAGAGAAGACAAGGTCCCTCTATGGAACCCCAGCTGTCTTGGAACTCATTATGTAGACCAGGATGGCCCTGAACTCTCAGAGATCCATCTGCCTCTACATCCTGAGTGCTGGGACTAAAGATGTGCACCATGCCTGGCTTTTTATTCAAGGTAAGTTGTCACTGTGTAGTTCTGGGTGGCCTGCATTCATTATATTCATTGTGTAGACCAGCTAGTCTTAGACTCAAGATCAGCCTGCCTGTGCTTCCCACATGCTGAAATTTATATCTCACAAACCAGATAGTTAATATATTAATTTAACAATCAAAACATTCACGGCTCTTTGTTTTTCTGAGACAGGGTCTCATTATGTAGCTCTGGCTGTCCTGGGACTTACTATGTAGAGCAGTCTCTGACTCGAACTCACAGAGATCCACCTGCCTCTGCCTCCTGAATGCTGGGATTAAAGACATATGCCACTACACCTGGCTTGAAACATTCATGTTTTTAATTTATATGTACATACACAGACAAAAATATTCTAAAATATTAACAATGGGGCAAGATGGCTCAGTGAGTATAGGAACTTGCCCACCAAGCCTGAGGTCCTGAATTTCATCCTCAGAACCCATGTGGTAGAAGAAAACTGACCCCTGAAAGTTGTTCTCTGACCTCCTTACTATTCTGTGGCATGCATGTTGTCTTACACACACACACACACACACACACACACACACACACACACACACACAGTTACACACAGTTTTTTTAAAATCCTAACAATGACTTAGCCAACATTTTTATCTTTACTTCTCAAATTATGAATGACACACTTGAGTTTTAAGATTGTTGGGTAGGTGTCCCACAGTCCAGTGACAGCGCATCCACACACAAGACAAGCTGCCCACCACTGAGCTGCCCCTCAGCCCTGCAACGCCCTCGGCGACAGCAGTGAACACCAGCAGCCAGCTCTGCCCGGCAGTGCTCAGGCCAGGGAGCCCAGTCTGTCAGTCAGTCTGACATGTCAGTCAGACTAGCCGGGCTTTCACCAGGGTGGTGGGCTTCTCTTTGACTACTCCCAGAAGACGCCAGCCCTGGTGGAGAAGACTGTTCATGCCCACCGGTGATACTGCCTTTGAGTAATTGCTACAGCTTGTTAGCAGGGTTCTGTTCAGAAGCGGAGTGCTGAAGGAAGGCAATTTTCTAGGCAATTAAAAAAAAAAATCCAAGCTTCATGTAATTAAGAGGGGGGAAAACCTGGCTAAATATGAGAACATCAAACACACCTGGGCTAGTGTTTTTCCTTTTCCTTTTTTTTTTTTTTTCTGTTTTAATGATTTGGGGGATTTAGGAAAACATTAGTAGGAAGTTTCTGTTTATTTAAAATCTCATTTAGAGGCTGGAATTGGGATGTAGGTCAGTCAATGGTAGAACATTTGTCCAACAAACACAAGGACCTAGCCCAACACCACAAGAAAACAAAACAAGGCTTTCATTTATTTGAGCACAATGGTGCATGTCTGTAATTCCAGATATTCAGGAGACTGAGGCAGGAGAATTACTCCAGCCCAGGAATTCATGGCAGTCCTCCGCGAATAGGTTCTCATCTAGCAGATCTCCCGGGTAGTCTTCTTACTGAATAAGCTTTGAAAGATTTGCATTGATATTAAGGAAAACTTGGATTTTAGATAATTTTGTTTTTCATAAGAAAATAAAAATATGGGCCAGATGGTGGTAGCGCACGCCTTAGTCCCAGCACTCAGGAGGCAGAGGCAGGCAGATCTCTGTGAGTTCAAGGCCAGCCTGGTCTACAGAGCGAGTTCCAGGACAGCCAGTACTACACAGAGACACCCAGTCTGGAAAAGAAAAGAAAGATATCAATGAGGAGTCTCCAGCTCTTCATACTGAAGCTGTCATGAAGTCTCTTGTCGTCAGTCACAGCCGAGTTCACACTGAGGGCCAGACTGCTGAGTTCTGCTCAGAGACCGGATCCTGGGCTCCCAGCCAGAACAGAGATGCAAGGCTGTCTGTCCCTTCATCCTTCTAGACTTGCCTTCACGACGTGTTTTCTTCAATACGTAGCGCATACACATCTAACACTTGGCTTTGGTCCCTGCCTCCTCCAGACACAGGTCAGGTGGTCTCTGATGACAGTCTCGGGGCGTTAGTGCACCCGTGCACGGCTCTGTCTGCCACCGGGCACTCATTAACTGCAGGGATTTGCGGGTGGCCGTCTTTTAGCTACCACTGGCTCTCTTCCCTGGCTCTGGACCTGGTCAGCAGTAATTAGATATTATTTCAGCGTGACAGCTGTTTGGTCTCTCAGTGTGCTAAGTCACTTAAGTATTGCCCAGTAGCAATTGTTGCCTAACTTGTAGACAAAAATTTTAAAAGGACAAAAAAAAAAAAAAGATAAGGAGGAAGTGGACCCCGCCGCTGTCACCAGTTGAACAGCTCTGGATGACAGGAGGCCCGTGGACTGGCTTCTCGCCTGTGCGGGAGCAGCCGGCCTTGCGTCCAAGCCCCACGTGTGCAGCGGTGACAGAGATTTCTCCTGGCTGTGAATACTCGCAGGCGCTTTTGCCTTGATGCCTCCTTTCCAGGGTTCCTTACAAAGGGCAGTGACTAGGGGCCTGGAACCGGTTGAGGCTGGAAAGGGCGTGCAGAACGGTCTTGACCTTGTGCCCCTTACGCCCTGGAGCTGGGACTATAAACCGGAAGTTAGCAGACCCCTTATTCCCTTCAGAGTGCAGAAAGAAACCTTTCCTCTTCGTTCCTAGGAGGCAAACGGGTTAATACCAGAATCGGTCAGTAAAGGGAAGGAGAAGGGGGGGGGGGCTGTTATTTTTTTATTTATAAGAAGAAATGTACAGTTCAGCTATGGTAATTAGAACAGAACAATGTAAACATTTAGTTAATGGGTACTGGGGTGTTTCTTTTCTTTTTTAGTTTTGTTTTTTGAGAAAAAGTTTTTCTGTTTAACAGCTCTGGCTGTCCTGGATCTCACTCTGTAGACCCGGCTGACCTCGAACTCACAGAGATCCGCCTGCCTCTGCCTCCCAAGTGCTGGGATTACAGACATGCGCCACCACCGCCCAGCTACTGGGATGTTTCTTAACACATTTGAATATTAAGAAGAAATCATGTTTCAGGCTCACATGATGGCTCACACCTATAGTCCCGGCACTATATCGGGAGGTTGAGATAAGACAATTTTGAGTTCCCGGCCAGTCTGTGTTTAATGTTAGAACTCTGTCTCCAGAGGGGAAAAAAAAAAGCCCCACAAAACCAATGTAGTATGTAGAGACTGCATGTGTACAGGCTCCTGTGCATGTATGTATACAGATTGTGTAATTTTTTTCCCCTAGGGACTCAATAGATCTTGATAATCCACAGGAGAACATTAAGGCCACCCAGCTCCTGGAGGGCCTGGTGCAGGAGCTGCAGAAGAAGGCAGAGCACCAGGTGGGGGAAGATGGGTTTTTGCTGAAGATCAAGCTGGGGCACTATGCCACGCAGCTCCAGGTGGGTGTGAATGCTGACCACACTTAGGCCCTGTCCCTTCGAGGACATCTCCCTTCCTTTCATCTTCTGTGGACACGTGTGTTCCCAGTCTTTCACCCAGCACTGTAGAAGTATGTGTTCCCTGCCTATGGTTCTGATTGGTTTTGTGGTCATGGCTGTTACCTTCTGAGACAGGAGTCTCACTGTGGGGCTGGAGAGTTGGTTCTGTGGTGAAGAGTGCTTCCTGTCTGTCTTAGGGTTGTTATTGCTGTGACGAAACACCATGAGCAAAAGCAACTTGGGGAGGAAAGGGTTTATTTGGCTCACACTTCCGCATCACTGTTTGTCATTGGAGGGAGTCAGGACAGGAACCCAAGCAGGGCAGGAACCTGGAGGCAGGAGCTGATGCAGAGGCCATGCAGAAGGGTACTGCTTACTGGCTTGCTCCCCGTGGCTTGCTCAGCCTGCTTTCTTATAGAACCCAAGACCACCAGCCAAGGTGGCCCCACCCACCATGGGCTGGGCCCTCAGCCATCAATCACTGGTTTAAAAAATGCCCTACAGGCTTGCTTGCAACCCAAGCCTAAGGAAGCATTTTCTAAATTGAGGCTCCCTCCTCTTTGATGACTCCAACTAGTAAGTGCCAAGCTGACACAAAACCAGCCATCTCACTGTTATTCCAGAAGACCTGAGTTCCGTTCTCAGCACCCCCGTCAGGGGACTCACAGTTACCTGCAGCTCCAGCTCCAGGAACTTGTTTACCCTCTTCTGACCTCTACAGAAGGTCATGCACCGCCCACATGTGACATACAGATATACGTAAGTAAAAATAGAAAATAAAATATTTTTTAAAAAGGAAAAAAGCGCCGGGCGGTGGTGGCGCACGCCTTTAATCCCAGCACTCGGGAGGCAGAGCCAGGCGGATCTCTGTGAGTTCGAGGCCAGCCTGGGCT